CACTTGGCTAATCCATTTCCTTGAGGGTCTTCCTTTTTCTCTCTGACCCTCCACCTTACCAAACATGATATCCTTTTCCAGCAACTGGTCCCTCCTGACAATATATCTGAAGTATGAGAGACGAAGTTTGGCCATCCTGTCCTCCAAGGAGCACTCTGGCTGCACTTCTTCCAAAACAGATCTATTGGTTCTTTTGGCAGCCCATGGCACTTTCAATATTCAACTCCAACACCATAACTCAAAAGCATCAGTTCTTCTACAGTCCTCCTTATTCACTGTCCAGCTTTCGCATGAGGTTATTGAAAATGTTATGGCTTGGGCCAGGTGCACCTTAGTCCTCAAGCTGATATCTTTGCTCTTCAACACTTTAAAAAGGTCTTGTGTAGTAGATTTGCCTAATGCAATACGTTGTTTGATTTCTTGACTGCTGCTTCCATGAGTGTTAATAGTTGATCCAAGAAGAATGAAGTCCTTGACATCTTCAATCTTTTATCCATTAATAAGAATGTTGTTTATTGGTCCAGTGGTGAGGATTTTTGTTTTCTTGATATTGAGATGCAATCCATACGGAAGGCTGTGCTCTTTGATATTCATCAGTAAATGTTTTAAGTCCTCTTCACTTTCTGCAAGCAAGGTTGTATCATCTGCATATTGCAGGTTGTTAATGAGTCTTCCTCCAATTTTGATGCCACATTTTTCTTCTTAGAACCCAGCTTCTCGGATTATTTGCTCAGCATATAGGTTGAAAAAGTATGGTGAAAGAATACAAGCCTGTCACAATCCTTTCTTAATTTTAAACCATTCAGTGTTCCCATGTTCGGTTCAAACAACTGCCTCTTGGTCCAGGTACAGATTCCTCAGAGCACAATTAAGTGCTCTGGAATACTCATGGTTTGCAATGTTGTCCATAGCTTGTCATGATCCACACAATCAAAAGCCTTTGCATAGTCAAAAAAGCACAGGTAAACATCTTTCTGATATTTTCTGCTTTCAGCCAAGATCCATTGGACATCAGCAATGATACCCTTCATTCCACGGCCTCCTCTGAATCCATCTTGAATCTCTGGAAGTTCTCTGTCATGTATGCTTACAGCCGTTTCTGTATTACCTTTAGTAAAACTTCTCTCGTATGGGATATTAAAGAGATTGTCCGATGATTTCTGCATTCCGTTGGGTCACCTCTCTTTGGAATGGGCGCAAATACAGATCTCTTCCAATCATTCGGCCAGATAGTTGTCTTCCAAATTTCTTGGTAGAGATGAGTGAGTGCCTCCTAAGCCGCCTGACTTTGTTGAAATATTTCAATTTTGATTCCATCAGTTCCTGGCGCCTTGTTCTTTGCCAATTCCTTCAGTGCACCTTGGACTTCCTCCTTTAGTATCATTGGCTCTTGATCATATGCTACCTCTTAAAACGGTTGAACATTAACCATTTCCTTTTGGGACAATGACTGTGTATTCCTTCCATCTTCTCTTGATGCTTTTTGCATCATTCAATAATTTGCCTAGAGAACCTTTCAATAGTGAAAGTCAAGGCTTGAATTTTTTCTTAAGTTTCCCCAGCTTGAGAAATGCTTGCGTGTGTTCTTCCTTTTTGGTTTTCTGATTCCAGATCTTTGCACATTTGGTTATAATATTTGGCTTTGTCTTCTCAAGCTGATCATTGAAATTTTCTATTCAGCTCTTGTACCACCTCATTTCTTCCATTTGCTTTAGCATCTCTACACTGGAGAGCAAGTTTCGGTGTCTCTTCTGACATCCATTTTGACCTTTCCCTTCTTTCTTGTCTTCTTAATGACTTTTTGCTTTCTTCACGTTTGATATTCTTGATGTCATCCCACAACTCTTCTGGTCTTTGGTCTTTAGTGTTTAATGTATCAAATCTGTTCTTCAGATGATCCCTAAATTCAGGTGGGATATCTTCAAGCTCATATTTTTGGCTCATGGACTTGTTTTCATTTTCTTCAGCTTCCGTTTGAATTTTCATATGAGTAATTAATGATCTGTTCCACAGGCTGCCCCTGGCGTTGTTTTCGCTGATGATATGGAGCTTTTCTTTCATCTCTTCCCACAGATGTAGTCAATTTGATTTCTATGTATTCCATCTGGCAAGGTCCATATGTATAGTCATCTCTTATGCTGTCTAAAGAAGGTATTTAAAATGAACAAATCATTGGTTTTGCAGAATTCTATCATGCGTTCCCCAGCATCATTTTTATCACCAAGTCCATATTTTCCAACTACTGATCCTTCCTCTTTGCTCCCAACCTTTGCATTCCAGTCACCAGTAATGAGAAATACATTTTGATTGCATGTTTGATCAATTTCAAATTGAAGAAGTTGGTAGAATTCTTCTATTTCATCCCCACTGGCTTTAGTGGTTGGTGTGTACATTTGAATAATAGTGGTATTAACTGGGCTTCCCTGTAGGCGCATGGATACTCTATCACAGACAGCATTGTACCTCATAACTGGTCTGGATATGTTCTTTTTGACAATGAATACAACACCATTTTCTTCAATTTGTCATTTCTGGCATAGTAAACCATGTGGTCATAAGATTTTAAATGGCCAATATAGTCCATTTCAGCTCACTAATGCCTAAGATATCGATGTTTATGTGTTCCATTTCATTTTTGACAACTTCAAATTTTCCCAGATTCATACTTTGTATGAATATTCCATGTTCCAATTTTCAATGGATGTTTACAGCTGTTTTTCTTAATTTTGATTGTGCCCTATCATGAAATGAAGGTCCCATGGGCTTTACTCCATTCGTGTCATCAAGGTCAACTCTACTTTGAGGAGGCATCTCTTCCCCAGTAGCATTTTGAGTGCCTTCCAACTTGAGGGGCTCATTTTCCAGCACTGTATCTGACAGTGTTTCTCTGCTGTTCTTAAGGTTTTCAGTGACTGAATATTTGGAAGTGCTTCGTCACTCTTTCTTCCTAGTCTGTCTTTGTCTGGAAGCTCATCTGACACCTGTCCACCATGGATGACCCTGCTCGTTATTTAAAATACCGGTGGCATAGCCCTCAGAATCACAGCAACTCACAAGCCACTACAGTAAGACTATGGATAGAAGAGTCCTATTTCATCTCATACTCTGCTCACCTTATTTCCTTTGCTCCAGTCAATCTGTCCTCCTTGCTATCCTCTTGAAACACCAGCCACATTCCTGCCTCAGAGTTTGCTTATGACATAACCACTTGCTAAGTAAATGCTTTCTGCATAGGTACCGTATTAAACTCTATAGAGATAGAAAGAAATTTGTGATTTCTGCTCTCAACAGCTAATACTTACATAGCACTTTCTATGCATTTTATAAGTATTTAACTCATTTGATTCTCAACTCTATGAGTTACTACTATCCATATTTTAGGGATGAGGATCGATTTTAAGGAATAGAAGTTTAAGTAACTACTCCAAAGTTATTCACTAAGTGGTAGAGCCAAGATTCAATTCTAAGCACTCCAACTCCAGAATTTATGCACTTAGCCATTCTGTACCTCATTGGTAGCATTAACCTTAGGACTCTTGCAGATCTTATCTATCCCAAGACCTTCACAAATCAAGTATGTGGGTCCTCCCCATATACACAGCTTTTGCACTGGCTGAACTGCTCAATGAAAAAGCTTTCCTACATACAGAGTGATTATCTAGTATTTCTCACTAGTTAAGTGAGTAACTCAGCTTTTAACGTAAGTCTCACAAGGGTGTATTCATATTTGCCCCTCAGTATTACCACAAGGAGCCCTGGTGGCCCCGTGGGTTAAGCACTTGGTTGCTAACCATAAGGTAGGCAAGTTGAGCCCACCAGCAGCTCCAAGGCAGAAAGATTGTCAGTCTGCGTCTGTGAAGAAGGTTGCTGCCAGCCTCAGGAACCCTGTGGAGCAGTTCTACTCTGCTCTCCAGGGTCCTGTGAGTTGGAATGGACTCAATGGCAAAAGGGCTTTTTTTTTTTGCTCATTCTAGGACCTTTATTTTTATTACAGGACCTTTAGTTATATGTGGGACTCCTGGTGTGGCGCTGTAGGGTCAATATTGGACTGCCAGCCAACGAAAGGTCAGCAGTTCAAACCCACCAGCTGTTCCTCAGGAAACCTATACAGTGTTGCTCTAAGTCGGAACTACTTTGAAGACACTTAATGACAACACCACCAGTTTTATGTTGTTAGTTAAGTGCCATCGAGTCAGTTCTGACCCATAGCAACCCATAAGGTTTCCAAGGAGAACCTGGTGAGCTTGAAATGTCGACCTTGCAGTTCAAATGGCTTTGCATCTGGTGATGCTTTAACCCACAGCACCACACCAGGACCCCTGTATGAGTAGTCAAAACTTGAATGTTAAATCGGCTTATGCCAAGAGTCTACCATATATGACATTACTGTTACAGGATTTGGTGACAGGGTAAACAAAATTTATCTAGGTATGTTGTTAAGTACCTTGAGTAGGTTCCAACTCATAGTGACACTGCACAGGGTTTCTGAGGCTGTAAATCTTTACTAGAGCAGAAAGCCTCATCTTTCTCCCACGGAACAGCTGGTAGTTTCGAACTGCCAACCTTGAGGTTAGCAGCCCGATTCATAACCACTACACTATCAGAGTGCCTTTATCTAGGTATAGAGTATCTTTTTTTTAGGTTGTTGTTGGTGGTTATGTGCCTTGGAGTCGGTTCTGACCCATAGCGACCCTATATAGGGTTTCTGAAGAGCAGCTGGTGAGCTTGAACCGCCAACCTTGCAGTTCAAATGGCTTTGCAGTCTGGAGCATAGGGTCTGTTAAAAGCCAGTTATTGCCCTTGTATATTACCTTTATCTGGATTTGCAACTTGATAATGAATTGTTTTAGATACGGTTACTTGGACATTAACATTAATTTAAGAAGTCTTAAAGTCCTCTTCTATTTAACTCCATGATTTAAACTAAACTTTCAAATTGACATCACAGGTTTATTTTTAAAGAAATCCATGTGTCTCTACAAAACTCGTCTCTTTTTCAGGAAAACATACTAAGAAAATCACATGTGGATGTTGGAATGCAGAAAACCTGCTTGCATTAGGTGGTGAAGATAAAATGATTACAGTTAGTAATCAGGAAGGGGACACCATAAGACAGGTAGTATACTAACATCGCTTTTTTCTGATACATTCACATGAATTTTTTCCTCAAATAACATTTCATCAAACTAAACTATAAAAATTTAAAATATCTTCAAGTTAGATTTAATATAATGTCATATTCCACATGTTAAAAACTTGCTTCATTTATTAGAATATTTTAAAACTATGAATATTTATCCAGATATCCTGCTTTGTACATTTCCTTTTGCCTAATATTAGTGCAGATTATCAGCTTTGTGGTTGTAATCATGTAGTGGTGGTGTTGGTATGGAATTGGTTCCAACTCATAGTGACCCTGCATACGGTCTCCGAGGCTGTCAGTTTTTACGGGAGCAGAAAGCCTCTTCTTTTTGCCTCAGAACAACTGATAGTTTTGAACTGCTGACTTTGAGGTTAACAGCCTGACTCATAACCATTACGCTACCAGAGCTCCTTAATCATATAATAGATTTGTGAAGCAATTTATTGTATATAAGTATTTATAATATAAATGTTAATTAATTCTGGGCCTTGGACTCAGAGTTAGGCCTGCCTGATTCTAAAGATTGGATCTTTATCCAGCGTATTAAATTGCTTCCAAAATGATCCTAATTAAATTTGATTTTTAGAATTAAGTTTTATTACTGTTCAAATTTCCTAAGAGTGATTAGATCGTTTTTAAGGGAATTTGTGTTGCCAATAGCTATGTGATCTCACCAATGAGAAAATCTTACTATATTTACTATTGACTAACACTTATTTTGAACAACTGCTAGGTACTTGGTTGGCACTGTACAATGTACTATAGAAGGAATATGAAACGTGGCCTTGTATTAATATGTGGAGAGCACTGAGAATCTGTAGGATAAGGTTCGGCGATTTGAGCCCACCACTGAGCCAGGGGAGAAAGATGAGGCTTTCTGCTCCTGTAAAGCTGTTGTTGTTATTAAGTGCTGTCAAGTCGGTTCTGACCCATAGCGACCCTTTATAGGGTTTCCAAGGAGCGACTGGTGAGCTTGAACCACCGACCTTGTAGTTCAAACAGCTTTGCAGTCTGGCTCATTAACTCACAGCGCCACACCCCTTGGAAGCCCTATACAGAATCTCTGACTTGGAACCAATTTGATGACACTAACAATAACATAATGGTTATCTGTTGCTGCATAACAAATTACCCCAAAACTGAGTAGTTTAAAACAATAAAAATGTATTATTTGTGAGTGAGAAGTCCAGCTGCAGCTTGCACAAGGCTGCAGACTTATTGTTAGCTAGGGCTGCAGTGTCATCTGCAGGCTTGGTTGAGGGAAATTGGCTTCCAGGTTTCTCACATGGTTGTTGACAGGATTCTAGCCTTACGGACTATGGACCAGGAGCCTCCCTTAGTACCTTGCCACATAGGCCTCTCTTTAGAGCAGATCACCTGGTGGTTGGCTAAAGAGTGGAAACAGGCATTCACGATTTAACCCTAATTCATAACCTAAGCTTTTGGCTTATTCTTTTCTTTAGTAGAAAGTTAATAGATCAATCTACATTCAAAGGGGCAAGAAAAGGGATTACCCAAGGGGATTACCAGGAGGTGGGGATCACTGGGGACAATGATAGAGTTTGTCTATCAGAGACACCTACTCTGAAGGAGATAAAAGTAATAATTATAAAACAACTTACATGATTGTCAAACTTTATGATATGGCTTTCAAGTCTTAGTGCATTTTGGAGGTGAGGGAGATCAGTGAAAGCTAGGTTGAATCTTTAAAAGTCAAAAACACTGGACTGCTAACCACAATGTTGGTGGTTCAAATCCACCAAACCTACCAGCTGCTTGTTGGAAACCTTATGAAGGGTCTGTATTAATTGGAACCAATTTAGTATCACTTAACAAAACAACAACAAAGAAGATAGTTTTTGTGTTTCTTTCTTTCTCAGGCATGTTTAAAATGATTAAGGAAGATTAATCTGGCATTGGTGAACAAAATAATCTGCAACTACATAGTTCTAGAACATGTGTAATTTTCATTACTCTATTTTGGATGCCCCTTAGAATTAGAACGGTAGACATGCAGTACATCAGGTATTACTATTAGGTAATAAATCTTGGCATTTTTTTTCTCCACTGAATCAAGACATACCCTTAGAATTATTTTAGATTTATCTAATGATTAAAGTGCAGTTGTAACATCTAAGGCAGCCGCCATTACTTACATACAAGATTACAATTTTCCATTTCTGATTGTGGAGCTCTGGTAGCGTAGTGGTTATGAATTGGGCTGCTAATCTCAAAATCAGCAGTTCGAAACTACCAGCCTCGGAAACCCTATGTGGGGTCACTATGAGTTGGAACCGACACCACAGCATATAACCAATCACCAATTGTGGACAACTGCACTTCCATCAGAGTCCTAGTGTGCCGCTGTGGGCTAATACACTAGACTGCAAAGTTGGTTTGAATCTCAAAGTCGACAGTTCAAGCTCACCAGTCACTCCTAGGAAACCCTATACAAGATCACTGTGGGTCAGAACTGACTCAATGGCACTTAACAACAACAATACAGCACTTCCATAATTCAATATACTGCTTACGTTGCTGTGCAGTAAGAAGAGTATGCATGTTGAGTGTTGCTTCCTTTTTTCCCCTCTCAATTGTTTTAAGATCTTTTCTTTGACTTGAATATTCTGCAGATTCCTACAAATGTTGTTGTTGTTGTTGCTATGTGCCGTGGAGTCGGTTCCGACTCATAGCAACCCCTCACAGGGTTTCCGAGGCTGTTAATCTTTACGGGAGCAAAACACCTCATCTTTCTCCCGTGGAGCAGCTGGTAGTTTCGAATTGCTGATCTTGCGATTCGCAGCCCGATTGGTAACCATTACGCTACCAGAGCTCCTTGGTGTGAATTTATTTTTATTATTATCCTGTTGACAACTTAATGTTTTTTCAATGTGAAGATTGCTGACGTTCATCAGTTGTGGGAAATTCCTGGTCATTTTCTCTGAATATTACCTCTTACACTTTTTAGTACATCCTCGAGCTTCTGTTAGACCTGTGTGTAACCTCATCCTGTGCTTACATCTCTCTCCCATGAATCTTTTTGCTACTCTGTAAAACCTCCTGAATAATTTTCTTAAACGTATCTTTCAATTCACTCATTCTTTCTTCAACTGTGTGATCTTTTATATATACCACTGAGTGTTTTTTTTATTTAATGGCCCCACTTTTTTCATGCAGAACCTGTACATAGACTAAGAGGCAGTCATTCAAACAGAACAAGGAATACCGTGTGGCTTAAAATCAGGAAAGGTGTGTGTTGTTGTTGTATTCTTTCTCTATACTTGTTCAATCTGTTGGCTGAGCACATAATTCGAGATGCTGGACTCTGTGAAGAAGACTGCAGCTTCACTCATTAACAACTTGCAATATGCAGGTGACACAACCTTAGTTGCTGAAAACAGAGAAGACTTAAAACACTTGTTGATAAAGCTCACAGAGTTCAGTATAGTTTACAGCTCAACATAAAAGAAAAAATCCTTACAATGGACCAGTAAGCAGTATCATTATAAATAGAAATGATTGAAGTTGTCAAGGATTTCATTTTACTTGTTTCCACAATCAATGCTCATAGAAGCAGCAGTCAGAAAATCAAATGACATTGGGCAAATCTGCAAAAGACTGCTTTAAAGTGTTCAAAAGCAAAGAAGCAAAGATGTCACTTTAGAGTAAGGTGTATCTGACCCAAGCCATGGGTCAGTTGCTATATATATATATGTATATATATATATATATATA